TTGCATCTCTGTCTCCTGTAGCATTTTCATTTGCTTATTTTGTTTTCAGCCCCAACAATACTTACTGACGTTGATCCTGAAACCAAGGTGATGCAAGAAGAGATTTTTGGACCAATTCTTCCAATAGTGCCTGTGAAGAATGCAGAGGAAGCCATAAAGTTCATCAATGACCGCGAAAAGCCATTGGCTTTCTATGTGTTTTCTCATAACAACAAGGTAAACGTTACAGAGCGCAGCACCCTCACAGCCACTGTTGTAAGTCCGGGCCCCTTTGGCAGCAGAGCCAGTGGTGTATTTTGTGTGATACTAGGACCCACCACCTCTTCTCGGGAGGCGTGGGGCTGTGGTGACCGCCTGCCCCCTGGGGGTAGATCCGGGGTGAGTGTCCAACGCCTCCCCGGGAATCGGGAGCCTCAGGGGCCAGCATTAGAAGCTTTTCTGTGCCGCCGCCCAGGGCTGGGGGGCAGCAGTCTCTGGCGCTGCCGGGAGGTGGTACCATGTCTTTAGCTCCTCCTTGCTGAGCGCTGGCGAGAGCTGTCCGCCTCGCTTGCCGTTGGGGGGAGCGTCCGGCAGGTGAGCACTGCACGGGTGACCCCAGCCTGGGCAGCCGCACCCCTTTTCTGAGTGGCTTGCCCATGTGCATTACAAGGGGACTGGCTGCTGCTGAGGGGCAGTGGCCTCGAGGTGGGCGCCTGGGGTCCAGAGGCTGATGGAGCCGGTGGTCGAGGTCTGAGGCGCTCCCTGGCTCAGTGCTCCAGTGCGGGGAGACGGTGTGCGGGCTGCGTGAAGAGCAGGCTGGCCACGCGCAGGCCTGACATCTCAGGGGCCGTAGTGGCGATGCGGCCTGGAAGCTCAGGTCCCGGGCAGGTGCGCTCGGTGGGTGGCCTGTGCGCAGTCCCGCAGCGTTTCCGGTGAAGCGCCCGGGCTGGTCGGCTCCCGGGTGACGTGGCACTGACCCGTCAGGTCTCACTGTCCCCATGCAGGTCTTAGGGCACCGTTTCTTCAGAAACTGGGTGCTAAGTCTTACATATTTGTTGCATTTCATAAAAGCTAAATGATATCTAGAAGTCACATTCTGTAGCTTAAAGCAGAGGTGGAGAAGTAGTAACAGTTTAAAAACCAGAGTAGAGACCGGACCCTCCCTTATTGTTAAAAAGGCTTCGCTGCCATTTTGGGGGTCCAGCTCAAAGGGCGATTGGGGGCTGCCTCCTTGAAGTGCTAGCCATGCGCCTGCCAAGTTCAATAGGGGTCACGTTTGCTGTCTGCCCTGTGCGGGCGCCTCTCCTGTACGGGCTCATGGTTTGAGAAGAGCAGGGGCTCCCCGAGTCCTATTGGAGGTGAAGCGCGGCTCCCCCACGCCCGCGTGCAGCCTGAAGCGTTGACCCAGTCTCTGGTCTCGCTCTGTCCCTCAGCTCGTCCGGCGGATGATTGACTGCACGTCCAGCGGGGGTGTCACGGCCAACGACGTGATCATGCACTTCACGCTCAGCTCCCTGCCCTTCGGAGGCGTGGGTGAGTGTCCCCGCACCTCCCCCAGCCGCCGCGCTTTCCGCGGGTGGTCCTCTCCGAGCGCCCGGTGGCAAGTCCTCTTCCTGCTCCCTCTGGCCCTCTGCAGCGGCTCCTCTCTGTCCTGCCACCACCTTTCATCCTGAGAGGCACCTGCCACGGCCTCCAATTATTTTGTTCCTTTTGCTGCTTTACGTGTTGATTGTCCTTCTCCCACATTTAGGGGATTTTGGAGCCAGCAGTCAGGTCCCTCCATCTTGGTTAGGGAGGTAGTGAGTGGCAGGGGAGAATGCCAGGAGCGCAGTGCCAGGCTGCTCGCCCTGAGCTGTCCCCTGGGCACTCACCTCGGTGGCGCTCTGGGGCACAGCCTGTGGCTCCCTCTGGGCTGTGACCTACCTGCCTCTTTCACCCCTGGGAGGACTGACTTAACTTTTTATTTAAGGAGGGAGGGATCTCTTGGGGGTCGAGCAACATGATTTGCTGATGGATTGGAGTGTTTGGGTGTGGAGGGAGGTGATGAATGAAGGAAAGGATGGTTAGTGAGATTTGGGCTGTAGTTATGTGGTCTCACTGCCCACATCCTTCATGGATTAGAGTAGACTCCGTTGTGTCTGTGCCACGGTCCCGTACACGTGATGGCCTGCGCCACGGTCCCGCACACGTGATGGCCTGTGCCACTGTCCCGTACACGTGTCTGTCCAGCACACACAGTAGATTTGAGACGTGAAAACTGGCCGAGAGCATGGCTTTTGAGAGGCAGAGACTGACACTTGCCTGTCACCACCCAGTGGTGTCACCTGTCGTCCTGGTCTTGGGTGCCTTCTGGGAACTTGGAGGCAGCCGGTGGGTGCGTAGGGCTGTGGAGTGGAGCCACGTGCTGGTCTGGGCTCCATCCTGGCTTTGTGTTTTCACCTCGGGCAGTACCCGCCCTTGTGGGCTCCCTCCCCTCTGGACTCGGGATGATGACACTTAGCACTGTGGGGGGTGGTGAGTGAGGTCAGAGGCCGCACAGCACTGTCCCTGGCGTCCTGAGAGCCCTGCCGGGGAGCTGCCCACCTGCCCTCCCCTTGGGGAGCGTCCTGTTCTATAGGGAGGCCCGCCTGGTGGGGACGCTGGGAAGAGTGTCCTGAGAGGAGCCCCTGGCGCCGGCCCAGAGGTGGAGCCGGGGTCCGAGGCAGCAGTGCCGCCTGCAGCACAACCGCGGGGTCTGTTCCTGTCTTTCAGGTTCCAGTGGGATGGGCGCTTATCACGGAAAACACAGTTTCGATACTTTTTCTCACCAGCGTCCCTGTTTATTGAAAAGTTTAAAGAGAGAAAGTGCTAACAAACTCAGGTATCCCCCCAACAGCCAGTCAAAGGTGGATTGGGCAAAATTCTTCATTTTGAAACGATTCAGCAAAGGAAAACTCGGTCTCCTGCTCCTCGCCGTCCTGGGCATCGTGGCCGCCGTGCTGGTCAAGGTAAGTTTCTAGCACGGCAACTGGACTCAGCCTCACCACCAGGTACCGGTTATATAGGCTGAATTGTGCCCGCTCCCGGCGTCAGGCCCTGCAGGGCGGCCGCCGGCTGCGTTCCTGTTGCCTGGGGGGCTCCCGGGATCTTTTCATCACTGTGGCTCACGTGAAGGCGGTGGGCCGCACAGCCTGCTGGCAGCCTCCTGTTTTTGCAAAAAGGTGGGGGCACAGCCACCCCTCGCCGGCTTGGCCTCTGGCTGCTGCTGTGCTGAGCCTCGCGGCCACAGAGCCCACGGCCTGCGGCACAGTCGCCGGCCTCTGGCCTCAGACTTCACACCACGAGGACCGCCTGGCCAAGTTCTGGCCGCCGGATCCCAGGTTCGATTCCGGTCAAGGGCATGCACCTTGGTTGCGGGCACATGCTCTGGGGCCTCGGTGTCAGTTTTGTTGGTGGGTGTGCCTGAGGGAGGAGGAGCTCTGGCGGTGGTGGGGAAGCGACTGAGGGAGGTCTGGGTGCTTTTCCTCCAGATTTGACTCCCACACCACGATTCTCTTGGTGACAGCGACATAGACACGGGCTGGCTGAGAGGCCCTGACCGCCGCCTCCCAAGGCAGTTTGTGTCCTTGAGGGGCGAGCCGGTGCGAGCCAGGGTGGGAGGGCAGGCAGTGGTTCTAAAAAATCAATAAAATATATTTTAAAAAAGTGTAGAGGTGATGGTTAGCTGGGTCTGGATGAAGGTGCATCAGTGTTACAGAAGGACAGGCACTCACTGCCCCCTCCTCCCCCCATCCCTCCACGCCCGGAACCGGACCGCCAGCCAGTGTAGCCCTGCAGTCGCTTTAGACACCGAACACTTTGTTTGATAATTTGAGAATCTTCTAAGAATCCCTCAGTCACTTTTAGTTTTGTTTTGAGTTGTTTGGTTTTAAAATGTGACTTTAGGATTCATGGCAGCACCCGGTGTGCGCAGCAGCCCCGGGCTTTCCATTGTTCGCCTCCCTGCGGCCCCAGGCCGGGAGCAGCCCACTGCCGGCAGCAGCCTGGAGCGGCTGGCTTCCCCTCTCTGCCGGCAGCTCCTGGCCT